ATTCATATTACACCAAAATGATGAAATTTAAAAAAAAAACTATGAAACTAAAAATATATACATATACACTCCATACATATGTGATGTTTGGCTTCTAACATTTTCTAGAACCTAGCAACAACAACAAAAATTAAAAAAATATTGATGATTACATAATCACCACCCATTACTAAACTTTAATTTCTTAATATTAAGACTTTTGTATTTAAAAAATAAAATACACTTATGTTTGTTTACAATTTAGGTTGAATGATAAATAGAGGATCTTAGAATATATTTTTTTTTCTTTTTTATAAAAAGACAGTAAATGTGATGATTGCCAAAATGGTAATTCTATTCCAATATCATTATTATATAACAAATACAATGATAAACTGATCAACATAACATATTCAATCTATATTCAATATTCATTGTAATGGTTAGCTATAGTGGGGATGATTAAAATCCTACAAGTGTTGTAACTTGTGAACCCGTATGCCCTGTATATTGGATAACGCAACAACACCGCCAATCAGAAAGCAGAGAAATTATCGATGGAACCGGTGATGCATATAACACGTGAAAGCAACCTAGAGTCCTGATTAATCTCGCTTCCTGTCTAGTCCAGTCAGTGAAGTCCAGAACACCAATCTCAGCCTCTGCACTATGAATCTTTTTATTTCAAACAAACTCGGTTTATATGCCAATCAAACAGACTACATCGTACCATAAAATAGAAAATAACATCTGTACAAAACTCGGCCATATGTGGCTGTGAATGTAAGAGGCAGTGACTAATAGACAAGGAAAAATTCAAGAATAGTAAATCGTATAATAATAGTCTGTGGGTCAAATTAAAGCTTATTATAAGAGCAACATGAATATGAACAGTTCAGTTACATAAAAATTATGCGATAAAAATATACTCATAGTAATGGTCCATAAATGGATCCTAAAAACTACCATTCGTTATTCTCTTAAAATTTCGAGTATATCATCCTGATAAGTAAGAACTAAACAGGAAATCAAAAAAATCTTTGATTCCCTTATGTTTATCATCAATTATTTAACATTGAAATACCATATCGTATCACTTGAACTAATGACTATATTGCAATTTTGATCGATAGAACTAGATATACGAGACATCAGTTATTATGGTTTATGCTACTGATGTCGTCAGATATAAGTAGTATTTTACACCAATCAGAAATGTAAAATCTGTCAATAGAAAGCTAAAATCAAGTTGAAAAGAAATAGAAAGGGAAATAGAAAGGAATTATGAACTTGAAGAATCAGACAGAATGTGTTAGATCCCAATAAACATAATGAATGGTAACTTTGGGGTCCTTTTATGGATCAATACTAAACGTATATTTGTTAAGTAACTAAACTATTCATATTCATGTCTCTCTTATCATAAGCTTTATTTTGACCTATGAACTATTATTATACGTTTTACCATCCTTGAATTATGCCCTGTCTATTAGTCACTGCCTCCCACATTCACAGAAACTTTTGGCCAAGTTTTGTACAAATGTTATTTTCTATTTTATGCCACGTTGTGTTCTGTTTGATTGATATATAAACTCAGTATGTTTGAAATATAATGATTTATATTGCAGAGTCTGAGATTGGTGTTCTGGACTTAACTGGCTGGACTAGGCGGAAAGCGGGACCAATCAGGACTCTAGGATGCTCACATGTGTTTTACGCGTCATTGGTCTGATCAATAATTCCCTGTTCCCTAATTGGCAGTCATAAGTTATAACGGAATGTAAAGGGCTAATAATGTAATTTTGCAGATGAATTATTTAATGTGTGGTTTTTATATTTTACTAAGGTATTCTGTAATTCTGTATTCAACAAAAAATTGGTTGTCCCCATTATGTGTACTCGTTCATTACATTACCAGTCATAGATTAGTCAACAAAAATAACAAAATAACCAAACATTCAATTATAAATTCACTATCGAATATTTAAAACTAATTACTATTACTTAAAACCATATCATTTCAAGTCATTTCTATGCAAATACCACGGATACAAAACTTTTTATATTGTGATTTAAATTGTGACAACTAATCATAATAGATTACTAGTTGGCTAACTTTTCAATTCATATTAATTAGTATCAGAAGGGGTTTTTATGGATATTGTAATAATTTGATAGTTGAGATCGTCAGTTAATTGGAGCTAGACTACCATGTAAAACATGGAAACACTGGATGGCCGTTTCGTCCTAATGTGGGACTTCTCAGCTATGCGTATCCATGATCTCGTCTCGTGAGATCCGAATCAAAGACCTATCGGTCTCACACGCAAATGTTTAACTTCTAGACCACTGAGCCGGATGGTATACAACGGTAATAATGTCTAATTTCAAATAATCCACGAAATTGAGCGACACATCCATTATTGTCTTCAGTGAGTTATTATCTCACAAAAGACCCGATGGGACTTCACTGATCGTTGCTTTTCACTAGAACTTCAGGTTTTCCATGGTGGTCTAGCTTCAATTAACTCATCATCTCAACAAGCGAAATTTATAAAAATTAAACTAATCATACTAGAACAGATAAGGAAAAGTGATTTCCCTAGTAGACATATATATGTAATAGAGTAAAATTATGTGAATGCAATGTGAAATACAAAAACAAACGAAATTGTATATTATTACATATATAGTGTAATGTGTGCTGCTTATACTGACAGATATAAGTTGTATGTAACAGTAATCGGAAGTAGGATACCTGCCAGAAGAATGATACATTAAAGACAATAGGAAGTGAAACAGAGGGTAATTGGAATAATAACGGAATCGACGGAATCATGAAGTAGTATGTAAAACACAATTGAAGATGTGCAAATTATGTATTTATTATATAATTTTCATATTTTACAAAGGTCCTGTTATTTCTCCAACATAGTAAATTAATCAACCATTTTTGTGATTAGAAATATGTATGTCATTCCTTATGAAATCGAAGCATAATTGTGTGATATATGTTCTTGAGATTACGGGGAAGATTTGTAGCTCAGGTGAATGATTTTGGTCGAGTTTTTTCTCTGAGCTGGATGGTTTGGTTCTGAAGCTTTCATCGTTCTTCTGAACGACATCATCAGCACAAACTTCGGGTAGAAGTAAAGTGTTCGAATTTCTCCACATGTGGTTCACAGCTTGTCCTGTACACCTCGATGCTGATTGGTTCTTGTTGACTTTAAACGTATCATTGTTTACTTCTTTGTTTTGGTTATATCTCCCATTGGTTTGACTTTTGTTCCTGTGCTTGTGCATAATTTTCGTGATTGGGTGATAAATTAGATCGATTTCAATATGCTTGTTGATTGCTGATTGACCTGAGTACCAGGCTTTTAAAAATTCTCTGGTATTTTTAGAACTGCCTCTATCCGAAAATTCCACATTTTTCCAGTCGAATGTGTGTCCGCAGTTGTCCACGTGCATTGACATAAATGAGGACATGTCATGGCGTTTGACTGCTTATTGATGTTCATGCAGGCGAAGATGAAGAAGGCGTCCGCTTTGTCCGATGTAGTGTTTTCGCAGTTGGCACAATTTATTTTGTAGATGATGTTTCATTTGTCTTCTTTTGTCATTCCAACCTTTGGCTTGCATAGGATTGGTTGTAGTGATTTTGTTTGTTTATATGCAACACATATTCCGAAGGTTTTCAGCAGTTATGTTTTAATTTCTTATATGCCTTTTATGTATGGTAGGGTGATCCTTTTGTTGATTTCTGCACTTGACTTTTTTCTGATGATGCGTGTGACTGGTAACTTTTTATGAATTTGATTACGTTGCCGCTCTTTTGAAAAATGGTCTTCAGGTGTTTTTCTTCATTTTTTCGTGCTGCATGTGTGCTTTGATGTGTTCTTGCCCTCTTGAACAAAGTTTGCACGAAGTTCATTTTGTGAGCTCTTGGGTTTTTGCTATTATAGTTGATAATTTGATCTGTATGGGTCGGCTTCCTATGAACTTGAGTCTCCAGTTTACCTGGCTACTAGTCTCTGCATCACTGCTTCTGCGATGAGTCCTGATATTGCTGATCCCGTCGCTGTCCCTTTCGTTTGTTCGTAGATTCGGTTGTTCAATTGAAAATATGTTGTTAAGCATAAATCGATGAGTTCTAGTAAACTTTGACTTTGAAGCCTTGTGTACTTTGCGAGATTTGAGTCGTTGGTGAGAGGCAGGGATGGAGTTTCATTTACTAAGCTTGGTTCAACTGAGGTGAATAACGTTGTTACATCGTAGGATATCATCATTTCGTCGTTGTTGATTTGAATGTTCCTAATCTGATCAAGGAATTTTGTGAGGGATTTGATGGAGTGGTTAGATGAATCCACTAAATATTCCAATGTTCGTGAAGTTTCTCTTGACAAATTGTATGTCGGCGTTCCGAAGAGTGCAACAATTGGACGTAGTGGGGTGTTTGCTTTTTGTATTTTTGCTCTACCGTAGAATCGAGAGAGCACTTGTCCATTGGATTTCATTCTCCATTGATCTTGCTTTGTTATATCTCCTGTTATGAGGAGTTCGTTTAAAGTCTTGGAGATTCAGTTGTCTAACGTTTTGACTGAATTTTGTCCATAGGTTTATATATGCTTTTATCCTCAAATAGTTCTTCAACTATATATTTCTCTAGTTATACTGTAGTGAACGAGAACACACAATCGGAAACAACCAAACGTATTTTAGTGCAACATCACAGAATAACTTGGTAAAATCTCAGAACCATACAGTAAGTACTACATTTGCAAAATATTTATCATTTGTTTCAGATATTGCTGTTCCTTTCGTTTCCATACCGATCACTCACTGTTCTCGTTCTCTTCTCTTCTCTTCGATTTTCTCAACCTTCTACCGTCATCGCTATGGATTAAACAAATATGAATTTGATTACTGTTCATTATTCAATCAAATTACATAAAATATACTAATCAAGGTACAGATCGTTTCAAATTGGTATATTCAACTGTCACAATAGTTTGAACAGAATGAAAAGGTATAGTTGTAGATGACTTTCTGTTTACAAAAAACCTAATTAGATGGCTTCTTTCTAATAGTGAGTGCAATATTTATGATCACTGAAGTCTATTTTACTCCACTTTCTTGTTAATACAAAACTACTTTTTTTTTAGAACATGTTACCTGTACTTTGGTCTTTTATATAAAATGAAAGTTAACTAATCTGTTTACACTTTAAAATAAGAATCAGTCAACATAGTTAACTGTCAAAACAAGACATACATAGAGGTTTGACAATGAAAATATAAAATATTAAATCCCGATTTTTTTTTACTTGTTTCTATGACGTTATGATAATGATAAAATGGCAGAATAAAATTATCTTTGTTAGTTTTGATATACTGTGATATATGTTAATGATGTCAACAGATATAAGAAGTATGTATCATCAGTTGAAAGTGAAATGTCTGATGGCAGATGATTAAGAAGATTAAAGAAAAGTGAATGAGAACACAGAATAATTCATGTAGAAATGAAAGAACAATGAAGTCTGATACGATTGATTGAAATTTTGCAAATGAAGTAGCAATAGTAGTAGTAGTAGTAGTAGTAGTAGTAGTAGTAGTAGTAGTAGTAGTAGTAGTAGTAGTAGTAGTAGTAGTAGTAGTAGTAGTAGTAGTAGTAGTAGTAGTAGTAGTAGTAGTAGTAGTAGTAGTAGTAGTAGTAGTAGTAGTAGTAGTAGTAGTAGTAGTAGTAGTAGTAGTAGTAGTAGTAGTAGTAGTAGTAGTAGTAGTAGTAGTAGTAGTAGTAGTAGTAGTAGTAGTAGTAGTAGTAGTAGTAGTAGTAGTAGTAGTAGTAGTAGTAGTAGTAGTAGTAGTAGTAGTAGTAGTAGTAGTAGTAGTAGTAGTAGTAGTAGTAGTAGTAGTAGTAGTAGTAGTAGTAGTAGTAGTAGTAGTAGTAGTAGTAGTAGTAGTAGTAGTAGTAGTAGTAGTAGTAGTAGTAGTAGTAGTAGTAGTAGTAGTAGTAGTAGTAGTAGTAGTAGTAGTAGTAGTAGTAGTAGTAGTAGTAGTAGTAGTAGTAGTAGTAGTAGTAGTAGTAGTAGTAGTAGTAGTAGTAGTAGTAGTAGTAGTAGTAGTAGTAGTAGTAGTAGTAGTAGTAGTAGTAGTAGTAGTAGTAGTAGTAGTAGTAGTAGTAGTAGTAGTAGTAGTAGTAGTAGTAGTAGTAGTAGTAGTAGTAGTAGTAGTAGTAGTAGTAGTAGTAGTAGTAGTAGTAGTAGTAGTAGTAGTAGTAGTAGTAGTAGTAGTAGTAGTAGTAGTAGTAGTAGTAGTAGTAGTAGTAGTAGTAGTAGTAGTAGTAGTAGTAGTAGTAGTAGTAGTAGTAGTAGTAGTAGTAGTAGTAGTAGTAGTAGTAGTAGTAGTAGTAGTAGTAGTAGTAGTAGTAGTAGTAGTAGTAGTAGTAGTAGTAGTAGTAGTAGTAGTAGTAGTAGTAGTAGTAGTAGTAGTAGTAGTAGTAGTAGTAGTAGTAGTAGTAGTAGTAGTAGTAGTAGTAGTAGTAGTAGTAGTAGTAGTAGTAGTAGTAGTAGTAGTAGTAGTAGTAGTAGTAGTAGTAGTAGTAGTAGTAGTAGTAGTAGTAGTAGTAGTAGTAGTAGTAGTAGTAGTAGTAGTAGTAGTAGTAGTAGTAGTAGTAGTAGTAGTAGTAGTAGTAGTAGTAGTAGTAGTAGTAGTAGTAGTAGTAGTAGTAGTAGTAGTAGTAGTAGTAGTAGTAGTAGTAGTAGTAGTAGTAGTAGTAGTAGTAGTAGTAGTAGTAGTAGTAGTAGTAGTAGTAGTAGTAGTAGTAGTAGTAGTAGTAGTAGTAGTAGTAGTAGTAGTAGTAGTAGTAGTAGTAGTAGTAGTAGTAGTAGTAGTAGTAGTAGTAGTAGTAGTAGTAGTAGTAGTAGTAGTAGTAGTAGTAGTAGTAGTAGTAGTAGTAGTAGTAGTAGTAGTAGTAGTAGTAGTAGTAGTAGTAGTAGTAGTAGTAGTAGTAGTAGTAGTAGTAGTAGTAGTAGTAGTAGTAGTAGTAGTAGTAGTAGTAGTAGTAGTAGTAGTAGTAGTAGTAGTAGTAGTAGTAGTAGTAGTAGTAGTAGTAGTAGTAGTAGTAGTAGTAGTAGTAGTAGTAGTAGTAGTAGTAGTAGTAGTAGTAGTAGTAGTAGTAGTAGTAGTAGTAGTAGTAGTAGTAGTAGTAGTAGTAGTAGTAGTAGTAGTAGTAGTAGTAGTAGTAGTAGTAGTAGTAGTAGTAGTAGTAGTAGTAGTAGTAGTAGTAGTAGTAGTAGTAGTAGTAGTAGTAGTAGTAGTAGTAGTAGTAGTAGTAGTAGTAGTAGTAGTAGTAGTAGTAGTAGTAGTAGTAGTAGTAGTAGTAGTAGTAGTAGTAGTAGTAGTAGTAGTAGTAGTAGTAGTAGTAGTAGTAGTAGTAGTAGTAGTAGTAGTAGTAGTAGTAGTAGTAGTAGTAGTAGTAGTAGTAGTAGTAGTAGTAGTAGTAGTAGTAGTAGTAGTAGTAGTAGTAGTAGTAGTAGTAGTAGTAGTAGTAGTAGTAGTAGTAGTAGTAGTAGTAGTAGTAGTAGTAGTAGTAGTAGTAGTAGTAGTAGTAGTAGTAGTAGTAGTAGTAGTAGTAGTAGTAGTAGTAGTAGTAGTAGTAGTAGTAGTAGTAGTAGTAGTAGTAGTAGTAGTAGTAGTAGTAGTAGTAGTAGTAGTAGTAGTAGTAGTAGTAGTAGTAGTAGTAGTAGTAGTAGTAGTAGTAGTAGTAGTAGTAGTAGTAGTAGTAGTAGTAGTAGTAGTAGTAGTAGTAGTAGTAGTAGTAGTAGTAGTAGTAGTAGTAGTAGTAGTAGTAGTAGTAGTAGTAGTAGTAGTAGTAGTAGTAGTAGTAGTAGTAGTAGTAGTAGTAGTAGTAGTAGTAGTAGTAGTAGTAGTAGTAGTAGTAGTAGTAGTAGTAGTAGTAGTAGTAGTAGTAGTAGTAGTAGTAGTAGTAGTAGTAGTAGTAGTAGTAGTAGTAGTAGTAGTAGTAGTAGTAGTAGTAGTAGTAGTAGTAGTAGTAGTAGTAGTAGTAGTAGTAGTAGTAGTAGTAGTAGTAGTAGTAGTAGTAGTAGTAAGTAGTAGTAGTAGTAGTAGTAGTAGTAGTAGTAGTAGTAGTAGTAGTAGTAGTAGTAGTAGTAGTAGTAGTAGTAGTAGTAGTAGTAGTAGTAGTAGTAGTAGTAGTAGTAGTAGTAGTAGTAGTAGTAGTAGTAGTAGTAGTAGTAGTAGTAGTAGTAGTAGTAGTAGTAGTAGTAGTAGTAGTAGTAGTAGTAGTAGTAGTAGTAGTAGTAGTAGTAGTAGTAGTAGTAGTAGTAGTAGTAGTAGTAGTAGTAGTAGTAGTAGTAGTAGTAGTAGTAGTAGTAGTAGTAGTAGTAGTAGTAGTAGTAGTAGTAGTAGTAGTAGTAGTAGTAGTAGTAGTAGTAGTAGTAGTAGTAGTAGTAGTAGTAGTAGTAGTAGTAGTAGTAGTAGTAGTAGTAGTAGTAGTAGTAGTAGTAGTAGTAGTAGTAGTAGTAGTAGTAGTAGTAGTAGTAGTAGTAGTAGTAGTAGTAGTAGTAGTAGTAGTAGTAGTAGTAGTAGTAGTAGTAGTAGTAGTAGTAGTAGTAGTAGTAGTAGTAGTAGTAGTAGTAGTAGTAGTAGTAGTAGTAGTAGTAGTAGTAGTAGTAGTAGTAGTAGTAGTAGTAGTAGTAGTAGTAGTAGTAGTAGTAGTAGTAGTAGTAGTAGTAGTAGTAGTAGTAGTAGTAGTAGTAGTAGTAGTAGTAGTAGTAGTAGTAGTAGTAGTAGTAGTAGTAGTAGTAGTAGTAGTAGTAGTAGTAGTAGTAGTAGTAGTAGTAGTAGTAGTAGTAGTAGTAGTAGTAGTAGTAGTAGTAGTAGTAGTAGTAGTAGTAGTAGTAGTAGTAGTAGTAGTAGTAGTAGTAGTAGTAGTAGTAGTAGTAGTAGTAGTAGTAGTAGTAGTAGTAGTAGTAGTAGTAGTAGTAGTAGTAGTAGTAGTAGTAGTAGTAGTAGTAGTAGTAGTAGTAGTAGTAGTAGTAGTAGTAGTAGTAGTAGTAGTAGTAGTAGTAGTAGTAGTAGTAGTAGTAACGATTATGATTCATGATGGCAGGTTTGACGAAATTAAAAATCTGTGATAAGTTTAAAATATTCAGAATCTGATGTCCGATAAAAACTGATCTCAATTAATCTTTTACGTGTTTAAAGAAGTGTCATGTCTAACATCACAAGTATTGCATGAACCCTAACTATGTAGTCTGGAATTAATAAGCTTATTTAGCGTTATATTGTTTCGATTTCAATGCATGTTGACAGTGTACGTCAACTCTGAGATGTAAATACATTCATCTGACGAGTCTCAAATAGAACGGAACGCGCGTCCTGTATTCCACTGCTATCCACTATCTATATTTGCTTAAAACGAATGTCAATGTGTTCACACCTGGTTATAAATCACTTCTTTCTTCCACTAACTACATGTGAGATAATAACAACAAATGGGTTTTTTATTTCTTGATTTCTATAATGTATTCCAAATATACCGTGTTGAATATTTAGCAATCCATTAGTTTATCATTTGTTACGTAATCTTGATTGTAATCACTAATCTATTAACATTTATACACTTGACAGTATTCAATAATTAATTTAAGATATTCATTCACCCTTAAAATCAGTATGGAAACAAACGTATTGTCTTAAATTAAATGTGACAATATGTTAGTTCCCATCTAATACATCAGTATTGCTTAAGTAATCAAATCATTTAATTGTATGTGTTCTAACTTGAGACCGCCGATTAGAGAGCAGTGACTTATCGATCGGATCAATGAAGCGTAAACCCGTATGAGCAGCTTAGAGTCTTGATTGGCCCTGCTTTCTGCCAAGCCCAGCCAGTTAAGTCCAGAACACAAGTCTCAGCCTCTGCGATATGAATCATACATCGAACGAAAGCTTATGTTCTGTAGAATAGATAAGGGAAAAAAATAAATGTTAGTGTTTTACAAGCTTTGCATAAAATGAAATAACGTCCCAAAAAATAGCTTTCGTAGTTTGTCAGGGCTTTTTGTTTCCCTGTTCACATCAGTATATGTTTAATGACCCTCATCCTTTTTTAGATTTTTAGATATAACTAAGTAACGGATGAATGTAAAATTTTTTAATATACAAAACCTTTCTATTGTTTCATTCATGCTGAGTAAAATGGAATGAACTTGTTCACAGCTTTATGATTAGATAGATATGTAAGACCGTGTCAAACGTATACTGAGCACTATACGATTTAAATACACCATCAACTAATTCATATATATCTATTAGAATCTGCAAAGATATACAAAGCATTTAAAGTTGGTTGACTACTAAACAATGACCAAAGTTATGTTTCTCTGATCGAATCATACAGATCACATTACAGTGTAGACATCAGTTTGAGTGATTTCATATAGTGCAAAATGAGTTAAGATGTTAAGTAGTTGGGAGTAAAAAGAATAGGGTTTGGTTTTCAACTACTAAATAATAAAATATCCAGTAGTCCGTTTTTATTGAGATCATGAATTGGTCAATATTAGACCACTATTGAAAACCTAAAAGCAATGGATGACCGCTTTGTCTTAGCATGGATTGGCTTTTGTCAGCTTACGTCACCTATGGCGAAGGTGAGATATCCGTCTACCAATTACGGGACGAGTATACTGAGCGGCAGTTCGTTCTGTTTTACTTTTCGGCTGCTAAACGTGGCCATTAAGAGTAGAAGATATTCGTAAGTTACTATTATTTGACAACGGATGCCTTGGAAATATCGCTGGCATCTGCTGGAATCACCGAGTAAGTAATAGTGAAGTTAGACGTAAGGTATTCGGGAGTGATGGTAAATCAGTTGATGAGGTTGTGAATCTTTATCGACTGAGATAGTTGGGCCATGTGTTGCGTATGCCTGAACACCGATTACCACGACGCGCAATGCTGACTGATGTTCGAGATGGTTGGAAGAAAGTTAGGGGTGGCCAAACCAAAACGTGGCATCAGTGCTTGAAGTCACTAACTTGTAGTCAGAGCCATGTTGGTAGATGCAGACTACTTGGTTGGGGTCCGCGTGACTTTCGTAACCAATGGTTGGAGACTCTTGGTGACATGGCTCAGAATCGATCACAATGGCGTCGGTGTATACACTCTCTGTCTTCCCTTAAACTATGAGATTAAAATTATTTCATATATTTCTTTTTACGAACTTATTCCTTCTTCCTGTACTATGTCTTTATATTCAATCTTCCTTTCCTATATTACCACCACTGAATTTACTGCTTCTATGAATCCGGTGTTCATCTTGTTGTGCTAATGCGGTATGGCAACCTGGACCGATGCACATATATGCCTGATCCTACAGTGTAACTGACTGACCGACTCGTCGTAGTAAGGGAATCATCAACAGCGTGCATCCACGATCCTACACGCGGAATCCGAACCCAAAACTCTCAGTCCTGTGAGTGAACGCTTAAATTCCAGACCACTGGGTCGGCATCCGAATTCGCTAGTGTCTAACTTCAACTAATATGCAAAACTGTGTGACCATCTTACATTGTTTCAAGTAGATACCTATCTCTACCTGACATACAATAGCCCAGTGATCTAGTTGACAATGATCTTCGTAAAACGAAGAAAAAGTTGTATTACACTCTTGTTAATTATTTTTGAAATATTTTTAAGACGTTCAATAATTGTTTACTCATCTCACCTATAACTCCGCCTGGAGCTCTTCCAGAGTTACTGCCAATCCCAAGCCCATGAAAAGGAGGAGGTTTAAGCATAGGATTAACGACCCCATCCCGTAGAAAACCAACTCGTTATAAAAAAACGCTCTTGCATGAGGAGTAACAGGCATAATTAATTAACTAACTAACTAACTAACTAACTAACTAACTAACTAACTAACTAACTAACTAACTAACTAACTAACTAACTAACTAACTAACTAACTAACTAACTAACTAACTAACTAACTAACTAACTAACTAACTAACTAACTAACTAACTAACTAACTAACTAACTAACTAACTAACTAACTAACTAACTAACTAACTAACTAACTAACTAACTAACTAACTAACTAACTAACTAACTAACTAACTAACTAACTAACTAACTAACTAACTAACTAACTAACTAACTAACTAACTAACTAACTAACTAACTAACTAACTAACTAACTAACTAACTAACTAACTAACTAACTAACTAACTAACTAACTAACTAACTAACTAACTAACTAACTAACTAACTAACTAACTAACTAACTAACTAACTAACTAACTAACTAACTAACTAACTAACTAACTAACTAACTAACTAACTAACTAACTAACTAACTAACTAACTAACTAACTAACTAACTAACTAACTAACTAACTAACTAACTAACTAACTAACTAACTAACTAACTAACTAACTAACTAACTAACTAACTAACTAACTAACTAACTAACTAACTAACTAACTAACTAACTAACTAACTAACTAACTAACTAACTAACTAACTAACTAACTAACTAACTAACTAACTAACTAACTAACTAACTAACTAACTAACTAACTAACTAACTAACTAACTAACTAACTAACTAACTAACTAACTAACTAACTAACTAACTAACTAACTAACTAACTAACTAACTAACTAACTAACTAACTAACTAACTAACTAACTAACTAACTAACTAACTAACTAACTAACTAACTAACTAACTAACTAACTAACTAACTAACTAACTAACTAACTAACTAACTAACTAACTAACTAACTAACTAACTAACTAACTAACTAACTAACTAACTAACTAACTAACTAACTAACTAACTAACTAACTAACTACTTAACTAACTAACTAATCGTACCTGTAATTGATTATGATACATATTAACCTTTTTATAATAATATTTCCGTTGTCATTTGAAGCTGTTTATCACTTATAAGCAGATTAGAACCATGACATACTATCTTAATGAAATTGGCATCTGTTATATGATGTCAATAATCAAAACGTTGTATAATTGGTTAATCATTTAATTCATTAATCATGTGACAAACAATCTCTGTATATTTATATAGACGTTAATTGATAATGTATATTCATTATTGAAGTAATATGCAACAACATTTAATATTTTCATTCTATACTATTTTCTTCTTATATAAATTTATATTGGCAATTGAATTAACAAAAGATTTAGATTATTTATTGAAGGCACATAATCGAATTCGTCAAAATGCTCGTGATTGTAATATTACAGGTCAACCACAAGCTAAGAGATTACCTAATCTTGTAGGTATTATTAATATTATAATTTATTTCTTTTTCATAAATATGTACAATCTAGAGTAATCATTAACTTTTTATTTTTGATTGAAACCATGAGTCAATTGAAGCTAGACCATCATGGAAAACCTGGATGCACTGGACGGCTGTTTCGTCCAAGTATGGGACTCCTCAGCAGTGCGGATCTACGATCCCGCACCCCTCGAGATTCGGACCTAGGACTTATCGTTCTCGTGCGCGAGTGCTTAACCTCCAGACCACTGGGTCGGCATCCAATGGTGTTAATGTCTAACCTCAAACAATTCACGAAATTGCGCGACCATCTTCCATTGTACTGAGGTAGACACCTGTTTCTACCCGAGACGGATTAGCTCCACTGGTCATACTAGGACGAAACGGCCGTCCAGTGCTTCCAGGTTTTCCATGGTGGTCTAGCTTCAATTGACTCATGATTTCAATCAAAAACTTAACAATCTTCACAATCCCTAAACTGATAACCTTTTATTTACTGGGAAAATTATGCTTAGTTTATATAATATATTTATGACTGGATGGATTTCTCTTTCTATTGATGCAAAATATCCATAGTTTGGATTATTTCAAGTTAGATGTTAACACCATTAGATGCTGAATTAAAGGTCTGGAAGTCAATTGTTTGTGCGCGAGATTGATAACACCTGGATTCGAATCCCATGAGATAGGATTACCCCATAATAGGACAAAATGGCTGTCCAGTACTTCCATAGTTGTCTAGTTTCATGATCTCAACTATTCAAAACATAATTTAAATC